GATGGGGATGGGGATGGGATGGGGATGGGGATGGGGATGGGATGGGGATGGGATGGGGATGGGGATGGGATGGGATGGGATGCTTCCCCTCTACTCCACCCTGGTGAGACCCCACCTGGAGTGTTGCGTCCACCTCTGGAGCCCCCAACACAGGAAAGATAGGGACCTGTTGGAGAAGGTCCAGAGGAGGCCACAGAGACGATCAGGTGGATGGAGCACCTCTGCTGTGAGGAGAGGCTGAGAGAGTTGGGGTTGTTCAGGCTGGAGAAGAGAAGGCTCCATAAGGAGACCTTATAGTGGCCTTCCTGGAGAGCTGGGGAGGGACTCTTGATGAGGGGGTGGAGTGATGGGACGAGGGGAGATGGTTTTACGTTGAAAGAGGGGAGATTTAGATGAGATATTTGGAAGAAATTCTTTCCTGTGAGGGCGGTGAGCCCCTGGGGCAGGTTGCCCCGAGAAGCTGTGGCTGCCCCATCCCTGGAGGTGTTCAAGGCCAGGTTGGACGGGGCTTGGAGCAACCTGGGCTGGGGGGAGGTGTCCCTGCCCAGGGCAGGGGGGTGGGAACGAGATGATCTTCAAGGTCCCTTCCAACCTAAATCATTCTGTGATTCTGTGCTGCACCGCCCATCCCAAGGGACAGCAGAAGGACCTGACATCTGGGGAGCCGACTCCTGCTTGGAGCCAGACCATCCGGACGCAAAACAGCATCTCCTTCCTCTTCCTCCTCCTCTCCTCCTCCTCCTCTTTCTCCTCCTCAACCGCAGGAAGCCAAGAAGCAAAGGGATCATCACATCAAGTTTGGGATGGGGGGGAAGCAGCTGGAGAAATGGATGCTCAGGGTCATGTCCGAGGCCCCGGGTCGGAGCGCAGGAAAGGAGGAGGGCTGCTGCCTTAGCGGAGCTTTTGTCCCAGCTGTTTATCGCTCCCAAGCCAGTGCTGAGAGAAACAGTTTTAAGCAGCGTGAATGAAACTGCAACGCAGCGGGTTTCACGGGGATGCTGCCTCGGTCATCAGAGAGTTTCATGGGAAAGCGAAACCAAAAATCAGCACGCGGCTTAAAAAGAACCGTAGACTCATAGAACGGTTTGGGTGGGAAGGGACCATTGAAGGCCACCTGGTCCAACCCCCCCTGCCGTTAGCAGGGACATCTTCAGCTAGATGAGGTTGCTTCCAGACCTGTCCAACCTGACCTGGAATGTTTCCAGGGATGGGGCGCCTCCCACCTCTCTGGGCACCACCCTCACGGTAAAGAATTTCTTCCTGATATCTCATCTAAATCTCCCCTCTTTCAGTTTAAAGCCATCACCCCTTCTTCCATCGCTCCCCTCCCCGATCCAGAGTCCCTCCCCAGCTCTCCTGGAGCCCCTTTAGGCACTGGAAGGGGCTCTGAGCTCTCCCCTTTTTCACCTTCTCTTCTCCAGGCTGACCCCCCCACCTCTCCCAGCCTGTCCTCCCAGCAGAGGGGCTCCAGCCCTCCCAGCAGCTCCGTGCCCTCCTCTGGCCCCGCTCCACCAGCTCCGTCTCCTTCTGCTGTTGGGCCCCCCCCCGAGCTGGAGGCAGCGCTGCAGGGGGAGCAGAACCACCTCCCTGGCCCCGCTGGCCACGCTGCTTTTGAGGCAGTGTCCCTGCACTCCAGAGAGATGAAGGAAAAGAAAAAAAAAACCTGCAGGGAACACCTCAGGGCTCCTCCATGAACCTGAAACACACAAAAAACTGCACGGGACGGAGATGTCAATCTGTCTGCCTCAAGGAAGTCATCACTCCACACCTCTTTTGACGTCGGTGGCTAGCCGGAGCCCGGCCATCCCAGTTTGGTGGCCAGGATGCCAAAGTCCCCTCCTAAAGCCAAACGACTGGTGCGATGGCAGACAAGGCTTCCCCCCAGTTTCTCTTTCTGCCGCTTTTCCGCAGCGAGCAGGCAGTGGAGCGTTCCTGCCCGCGGGCTGCCTGCAGCTACCTCGCCGTGGGTGGGGACGCGTGCCTGCATCGGGGTGGAAGCTGCTCTTGCTTCAGCCTCCGAAAAGGAACTTAACTGTTTCTTCTATTTGCCCCGAAGGAACGGCGGTTTGGGCACCGGTTTATCCCAACCTGTAAGGCTATCACGACCTGCCTCCAACCAAAAATCACAGCAGTTACGCAGAGGACCGTTCAGCGGCACAATTAGTACCTGTGTCTGCAGCAGAGATGAGACAGACCAGGAGCGGTGTCCTCTACGGAAGAGTTTTCTTTGTGCGCTCCCCTCATTCCCTCAGGCTCTGCTCAGCCATACATTCCTACTGCTGCCCCATATATTTGCAGGACAAAGAATTAACTCCCTTTTTTTTCAGGGCTCCGCAGGTTCCTCGCAAGCTTTAATTTAAGCCTCTCGACAAGGCTGAGGGGCAAATCTGGCTTTCTGCCTTTACAGATCAGCCCACCGGTGCCACGAACACAAACACCGGATCTGTGTGGTACCAGGCGACCCGGCATAAATCCTGCATCTCGAAAGGCCACGTTACCCCTTTCCGCAGAATTCCTGGAGCTTGTGCTCTGCAGCGTCCACTGGACGCTCTCCGGTGCCAGGAGAAGCCAGACGACACCCGCCAGTGTTTCTGGAGCGAGCTTAAGCCAGCAAACCAGATTTGTAACGGATGAACACTTATCAAGGACACGGTGTTTTGACCTGGTATGAGGAACCTCATTGTCAGATTTTCTGCCCTGCCAAGTCACGGCCTAGAAGGAAGGGTAAGCAACTGCAACCACACAAGATATCCACGGCAGAGCCAGGAGGAGAGCCCCAAGGTCGAGTTGTAACCACCAGAATGTGTATTTCTTCGTAAGCAGGAGAAGCAACGTTCACTACAAAACTCATGGAAACCAAGAGACATCTCTTCGACCGCCTTCAATAAGCCTAAAGTGAGGTCCCCCGATAGGTGGGCAGCAACACGAGCAGACGATGGAGGTCACACCACAAAGGCTTCACGGCAAAAGGCAAAGTTCACGACCACGGTACCACTACAGCCCTCCACGGGAGCCAAAAGCTCTGCTCACAGGAGGCTCTTTCTGACTTGATCCCCAGAAGCTCCGGATCCCCACCTCTCTGTCACTGGAAGAGCCGAAAATGGGAAAGTTCAGAGGTTTTTATTTGTGTGGAATAGATAAGGAAAGCAAACATACCCCGATAACCTCTTCCCTCATGCGCAGCAGTCTGAAGGCTGCGCCCATAGGCAGGATGCACATTCTGTACCGAAGGCCTTAAATTTGACTGGGTCTAGTTAAAAATAAACTCTCCGGGTCAGCAGTGCTCTGCTACAGCGACGTGTTCCACAGCCCCAGTTTGCTCCCATTCCCCTCAGGAGCGGGAAGCACGTTTCCAAAGAAAAGCTGGACTGGGGGAGCCCTGGCTGGTCTGGCCCACGGGGTCAGAGGATTTCCCAATTTTTTCATGCCGGTCGGTTAATTTTCAAGCTGAAAAAGACCGTCATAGGCAAAGTTTGACTTCACTCCCTTGGGAAACACCCACCCCAGCTTTCCACAACGGCCCAGGCTCTTCATTTCCTGACCTGAGCACCCAGATGGGCAGGTGTCATTTTGGTTTACAGTTGACGGCTGCATCCCTATCCAGTCAACAGATACAAAAGGGCAAAGGCTGAGCTTCTTTCAGTCAACTTTTTTTCCCCATCTCTGATCAAAACAGCATGCAGACACACCGATTCAGCAACGATGTCAGGCGCACACACCGTCCCCCCCCCAGAAGCAGCTATGAGAGGCAGTTCTTCAGGGGCGGAATTAAAAGCTTTTTTTTTATTAAGTACCCAGAGGGGAAATGCTTTTTGGACAGTGACTCCTGCTGGAAAGGTGAAGCCAGCACGGCTATGGCCCAGGCTTTGGTGAGCAGGGATGTCCCCCCACCAAGAAGCTGGAATGGGCTGGCATTATCCCCATCACCAGGACACGCTCTCCTCTCCAGCAGCCTTTGGAGGAACTGCTGGGCCTGAACCACACCGGCAATTCCTTCTGTGGCCTCCTCAGAAAGGAGGGCACGTGAAATACTGGGGGCCGAGTAGCCCAGCAGAACGTTACTCCCTCTCTGCGAGATACCACAGAGTTTTCCCACACTAAAGCAGCATGTTCTTGGCTTTGGTTTCTGAAGGTCTGCAGCGATGTACCACATTTCAGTGTGGCACCACCTGGAAGCCAACCGTTTCACTCCTTCGGTTGAAGAGCGCGCTGTAGGTAGGCATGCCATCTTGACTCAGCTTCCTGTCGGTTTTATCTTCAAATCATCAGGGAAGCAAACAAATACAATTTGCATGCCGAAGCATCAGCTCTGCGTTGGCATGTCCCGTTCTTCAAGGATCCTTTTCACGCTCTCCACAATGGTCCACACTTCTGCCATGGCACCTCGACCTGCAGGGTAAGAGCGAAACCACACGGTGAAATCCAGGTCCCCCACAGACGGCATGAGGCACGTGCTTCCCCCGTCCCACCTCCTCGCTTCTCCACACGCCGCAACGCTGCGGAAAAATTAGATGTACAATGGTAGCACAGCACAGCAAAGCTCACCAAGTAAGCCCACGTGTTTCTGTATGACTCGCCCAACAGAAAGCAACAGCGGAGGCTGGAGGATCTGCTCAGTCCACCTGGTTCTGCAGGGGCTGTGTGTTGAATGCCATCAGGGGAGGAGAGCGAGAAGAGTAGTCACGCTGACTTAGTTTGGCCCGTAACTCAGAAGTCGAAGCAGGAGCACGAGCTCCACAGTCAACGGAGAGAGGCAGGAAACCTCAAAAGGCAACTCACATGACCTTAATAAGTACCTCATGTTCTGAATCTTCTCCAGAGGTGTCTGCACCTAACCCTTGACCGCACAGGGAGTTACTATCTTAGCTCAACGCTGCCCTGGGGGCAAGTGTGCAAAAGTGCCCCAAAAAAGCGGGTGGGTAGCAAAATACCCTATTTCACCTCCTTTCTCCAGCGTAAACATTGTGTGCGTTCAGTATCTTTTTTTCTTTTGAAATGGCCTTGCCTATAAAAAAAGACTTGCCGAATTCATACCATTCCCATGACTCTGCAGTTAGAGCCACATTAGAGAAAGCTGTCCTGGATTCGCACCAGCTTGAATCTTGGGAGTAATTCTTGGAGAAGACCAAGTACTGGACAGAACAAAATGTAAAAGCTTGTCCTTTTGGACCGGTTAGATGAACATTTAATGAACATTGCCAGATGAACATCTAATCTGCACCGTGCTGTTGCTTCCCTCTGAAATACTTTTTAAACTTCGGTTCAGAATTTTAAGAATTAAATCATCTTGTCCAACCTCATGTACTGAACTCAGGCCATTCACTCCTGTAATTTGCTTGGGGCTGAGGAAAGATACTTCTCCCACGAGCATTTCTCTCCAGTGGAAGATTGAAAAAAAACAGAGTCTCTATTGATCTTTTGTCCTGCTGGCTAATTGCTCTAATAACTTAAAATACGTGCCTTATTTGTTATCAGAAATTAGTTCTGGAGGGCTTTGTTTTCTTCTTTGTCTGGTCTGCTTCCACAGCTGGGTTAGCGAGCGCACAGATGGAACAGTTAAACCAGCGGGCTCCAAAGGACAGTAAGGACTTGAGGGCAGGCAAGAGATGGAAGGGAAGGGGACAGGCCATCCTGACCAGCAGGGAGAGGTGCTCTCTTGGGGGCAGATGACAGCCCTGAATCTGCGCGGACGCCCAGCTTTCCAGGACGGATGAGCCACCTGAACCTTGTCTGGGACAGGAGGTGTAATTGGATATAACGGAGGATTTGCGATGAGAAATGACACTTGCGGAAGGTCAAGAAAATTGGGTTTCCCTGCAAAGTAAGACCCATACTCCACTACGCCTTTGTCAGACATGTGAATCCCAGGAGGTCTGGAGCCTCCTGCGGACAAGTCGCCCGCAGATTTGGGCCCTTCTGGTCTCCTAACCTCGAGGAGAAGAGCTGCAGCTGACAGGTCCTGCTAAACAAGAGAAATTCCCTGACTGCCTCTGCACCGTTTGGCAGAGCTACACCCTTCGAGAACATTTCCAAGGTCTGCCTTTGCCCTCCACCACCCACCTCCTCAACCTCTTTGGCAATTCACAGCTGGATTTTTAGGTTTAGCAGAGCAAAGTCTTGCTAAGGAGCCTGTCTTCCAGCACAGCTCATGCCTACGGGTAGAAATCTTCCAGTGTGCCAGGTTCTAGAAATGCAGCCAAGGACGGTGAAGCTACTAGCAGTTTGGAAATGTTTTTGCAAAGGCAAATTGCTGCAGGCCCATGTGCGGTACAGCACCTCTCAAAGCTCTCTTTATATCGTGGCACATGGATATCATCAAGGCCAACAGCCAGTAGCTTAGCTTTAACTACCCAATCAAGGAAACATTTTAATTGTCAACTCTATTTAATTTGTTATTTTAACTCTCTTCTAGCTGGACTCTACACCTAAAAACACCGACCTATTAAGGAAGAAAAATTAATCAGGTAAAGCTTGTAACGCAGAAACCCCATGGCAGTCAGGATCTGGCCACTTTCAGGTGAGACCAGCCACATGAGTGGAAGAAGATAAACCTCTTTTACAGCAAGACAAACCACAATGTCAACAGACAAAACTGGTGCAAACTGAATCTCTTTTCTTCTGCACCAGATGTGTGAGCTTTGCTACCTACCTACTGCTCGGGTGGAAGCTGGGCAAAACCCCTTCGTGGATGAAACCCACAAAACCGAAGTTAGGGTGGAAGAAGAGGCCTTGGGGTGAAAGGCCTGAAAAGAGGGGAAGAGAAGAAAAAGTCACTGGTGAAGACTGTCTTTGGTCTTCAGAGACCTGGAGTCCATTACTGCTGTGCTGGTTTTGGCTGGGATACAGTTAATTTTCTTCACAGTAGCCAGCATGGGGCTACGTTTTGGATCTGTGCTGGG